TGCCTGGGAGATGGATGAATGGAGGGGGAGGCCCCAGGACTTGGCCGTGACTCATCGAGCTTCCGGGCAAAGTCTAGGGGATGACACATCGGAGCTGCAATGGGAGTGATCTTGCAGGGCGGGGTGCCTGTGGGCTACCCCAAGCCAACCGGCCTGCCTGTTTGCTGTAGTTCACAGTGTGCCTGCGGCGGGAAGGGCAGACTGTCTACCAGCAAGTCCTGTCCATGGAGTACCCAAGTGTCCTGCGCAGCTGGAACTGGGGCCTCTGTGGGTTCTTTGCCTTCTACCATGCCCTCTATCCCCGAGCCTGGACGGTCTACCAGCTACCTGGCCAGAATGTCACCCTCACATGCCGTCAAATCACCCCCATCTTACCCCACGATTACCAGGTGAGGCGCCCCCTCTCGGGTCCCCTTACTGCTCACCCCCACCCTTGGATGTATCTTTGCTGGGAATTCCATGACCTGTGAAAGGAGGGAGGTGGGAGCCGTGGGCATTATACTGGTTTCCCAGGTGTGGGGGCTGGTCCTCCACATAACTAGTTTCAGTCCCAATCTCCCGGTAGGCAGCCACCTGAGAAGATGAGGAAATGGGAGTGGACAGCAGAAGAGATTGGGGGCTGTTTCAGTCAGGTCCTCTGGGCCAGAAGGTGGGGCGGGGGGAGAGAGAGAGAGTGTACTGGGGGGGCAGGGGGCTGGCTACACTGAGTATCCCCTGACTGGTCTCTCGCCCCCAGGACAGCAGCCTGCCGGTAGGAGTCTTCGTGTGGGACGTTGAAAATGAAGGGGACGAAGCGCTGGAAGTGTCCATCATGTTCTCCATGCGGAATGGCCTGGGGGGTGGGGATGACGCCCCTGGGGGGTTGTGGAATGAGCCCTTCTGTCTGGAGCGAGATGGGGAAACGGTACAGGGGCTGCTGCTGCATCATCCGACTTTCCCAAACCCCTACACCATGGCTGTGGCTGCACGCCTCACGGTAACAAGCGGGTCTGCCTCCCCCACCTTAGTACCTGAACCCCTCACCTCGCCCTGGCCCTGGGCCTACCTGCACCACGGCCCTTAAACCTCTGGAATCTGGAGACTGGGATTCTGGAGCAGGAGCTGGAGAGTTTGCCCAACTCCAGCATATTTGTGGGGTTCCCCCTCACCGAGTCTTTGGGTCCTTAACAGGCAGATACCACCGTTACCCACGTCACCGCCTTTGACCCCGACAGCACTGGGCAGCAGGTGTGGCAAGATCTACTGCAGGATGGACAGCTGGACTCCCCCGCTGGTGATGGTGGGGTCTGACAGGGAGGTCTGGGAAGAGAGGCGCCCCTGGCTCGGGACAGGGGGGAGGCCTAGGGATGACTAGGGCTGGTTGCCGCGTTAGGGCTTCCAAGTTCTGGGGCTGCAGGGGCTTCTGCTGAATCTTCTGTGTTTTCTCAGGCCCGAGTGCCCCCTCTCACAAAGGAGCCGGTCTCGCCGGGGCAGTGTGTGTTTCGGGGAAGCTGCCTCCGCGAGGCCAATGCCGCCTGGAGTTCTCACTGGCTTGGGACATGCCCAAGATCATGTTTGGAGCCAAGAGCCAGGTCTACTACAGGTGATAAGGTCGAGAAAGTACAAGGATTCCAGGGCCGGGGCTCTAAGCCAGACCCAATGATCTCACTTGGCGCCCCTCTCACTCCAGGTGGTACACAAGATTCTTTGGTCAAGATGGCAATGCAGCCCCCGCCCTTAGCCACTATGCATTGTGCCGCTATGCAGACTGGGAAGAGAGGATCTCAGCTTGGCAGAACCCAATACTGGAGGACAGGTACCTATGGGGTCCCTCTCTTTGACCACCTTGCCTTTCTCGGCACTAACTGACGAGGGCTCCCAATCCACTCTCTAGCCACCAAAATGCCAGAGGATTGTGCCAAGATTGATTCTGCACACACACAACTTGCCCTGAACCCCAGAATCCTGTCCTTTGCTGAGAGGTCCACCCTCAGACCATGCCCTCCTCTTGCCTCCCTAGATCCTTGCCTGCCTGGTACAAATCTGCACTGTTCAATGAACTGTACTTCCTGGCCGATGGAGGCACCGTCTGGCTGGATGTGCCCGAGGACACTCTCCCTGAGGAGCTGGAAGGGAGCATGAGGCAGCTCCGGCCCACGCTTCGAGAGTACGGCCGATTTGGCTACCTTGAGGGTACGGGCTGCTGGGGAGCCTGGGCATGGCAGGGCACGTGCCTGAGGCCGGCTAGTGCCTCGCCGACCACAACTCGGGGTGATGGGTCTCCCTTGGGGCTTTGATGGGGAGGTGGGGGATGGTGTTGACAGGTGACAGTGTCCTACCTCCAATTCTAGGAGACAAGCTAGAGAGGGGAGTTTTGTGGGGGAAGCAGGAGTGCTGGCAACCGTCTCTGCCCCCTCCCCTCCCCCAGGCCAGGAATATCGCATGTACAACACCTACGATGTCCACTTTTACGCGTCCTTCGCCTTGGTCATGCTCTGGCCCAAGCTCGAACTCAGCCTGCAGTATGACATGGGTAAGCGCCCCTCTTGCGCCGTGCCCCCTTCTCCCCACAGGGCTTCCCATTTCCCCTGAACTCGTGGCCACTCAGATCATCCCTCCCTCCACCTTCTCCCAACACACACCTGTGTCCCGCTGACGGGTCGCCTCTGCACCCCTCCTCCGGCTGTCCCCCAGCTCTGGCCACCCTCAGTGAGGACCTGACCCGACGGCGGTACCTGATGAGTGGGCTGACAGCGCCCGTGAAGAGGAGGAATGTCATCCCCCATGACATTGGGGACCCAGGTAGAAGCCCTCCACCCCTCCCCTTCTGCACCCCCCTCCCCTGCCCACCAATGCAAAGGAACCAGGCCCCCCTCCCCTCCCGCAGATGACGAGCCCTGGCTCCGGGTCAATGCGTACTTGATCCATGACACTGCCGACTGGAAGGACCTGAACCTGAAGTTTGTGCTGCAGGTTTATCGGGACTATTACCTGACGGGTGACCTGGACTTCCTGAGGGACATGTGGCCTGTGTGTTTGGTAAGGGGTTCCTGCGGAGCAGAGCGCCCAGCGTGTCAGCGGCACGCCTGGCTGTGGTCCTTTCTGTAGGAGGCGCTGGGTCCTCAGTGAATTGATCCCTTCTGTAGGCCGTGATGGAGTCTGAAATGAAGTTTGACAAGGACCACGACGGGCTCATTGAGAATGGAGGCTATGCAGACCAGACCTATGATGGATGGGT